GAGAGAGAGAGAGAGAAGGAGGGGGGCTGGGGGGAAGGGAGACAGAAGAGAGAAACAGACAGACAGACAGACAGACAGACAGACAGACAGACAGACAGACAGACAGAAAGACAGACAGGAAGACAAACAGACACACAGCATGTTCGTTCGAATATAGTTCGCTAGTGACCAGCAAACCATTAATTAGCAGCCTTTCCTGAGCCAGTGGAAAAACTAAGGTCGTTGGCCCGAGGCGACGACTGGAGTACTCTGTGTGAAAAATAGCCAGGTGGAAGGGTACTGTACTCTGTGTTTTAGTTTTAGTTTTAGTAGAGGCTTTACGGCGCTCACAACTGCATATTTTTTTTAAGGTCATATAAGCGCCAGAAGTTTAGAGGCGTTACAAGAGAGTAACAAAGATTTAAAAAAAGAAGAAGGAGGTGATAAGGACGATACATGTTTGATAGAAAAGAAGAAGCAAACCACACATGAGCACCCGCCAACCACCCACGTACTCTGTGTGAAAAATAGCCAGGTGGATGGGGTACAGTATTCTGTATGTAAAATAGTCAGGTGGATTGGGTACAGTATTCTGTATGTAAAATAGTCAGGTGGATGGGGTACTGTATTCTATATGTAAAATAATCAGGTGGATGGGGTACAGTATTCTGTATGTAAAATAGTCAGGTGGGTGGGATACAGTATTCTGTATGTAAAATAGTCAGGTGGGTGGGGTACAGTATTCTGTATGTAAAATAGTCAGGTGGGTGGGGTACAGTATTCTGTATGTAAAATAGTCAGGTGGATGGGGTACAGTATTCTGTATGTAAAATAGTCAGGTGGATGGGGTACAGTATTCTGTATGTAAAATAGTCAGGTGGATGGGGTACAGTATTCTGTATGTAAAATAGCCAGGTGGATGGGGTACAGTATTCTGTATGTAAAATAGCCAGGTGGATGGGTAGTACTCTACCCATCCAGCTGGCTATAGTACTCGATGTGTTCTATTAATGTGGATGAGGTAGAGTACCCGATCTGTGAAATTAACCCTATCCCTACGCCCTGTGGTCATTTTGTACCGACGGGGTTGTATTCTTCACATTTTAGAATACTTCTAACGTGAAAATCTCTTTAAAATTTTCAGTATTTCAAAAAAAAATCATTTTGACAGACTGCTAAGCAAAGCGTACGGATCGGATTAACGAGTAAATTTCCTCTTTGGGAAGTGGTGGCACAGAGTTTCCCACGTCGTATGGATACGATAGTAAAACACGACGTACGCATAGGGTTGAGATGGGTGGGGCAAAGTACCCGATCTGTAAAATAGCGGGTGGAGTAAGCCAAAATTTGATCTCGTCAAAAGCTTGTGTGTCGTTGAAAACTGCAAGTTCACATTTTCTGTGTCTTTGATCAACCATGTTCCGTAACATTCACTCAGAATTTATTTGTTTTTTAAGAGACACAAGGAGTGCTGGACAAAGAAAACAATTCGATTAAAAAATTGTTCAACGGGTGGGAAAATGTCAATTTCTTTAATTTCATTATTCTGTCGAGCGCCTGATTTTTCAACGATGCTACAGGTAATATATAATCGTGATAATGTGTATGTGGTTTTCAAGCACCTTGTAGACGTACTTGCCATTGCATTAACTGGGAATGTTATCAGCTGTATATCCGTCTATCTGCTAGGCTACTTTTGTTTTAATAAGAGTTTTACGGCACTTGCAACACGATAAGGCCAAGAGCCGGAAATTAGAGGTGCTACAAGAGAGTAACACACATAAAAAAGAAGGAGTAGAGATCAGGATGAAAGATATTTGATAGGAAAGTAGGAGCAAACCACACCTGAGCACCCACCAACCACCCACACGCTACTTTGTCCCAATCCGCCTAGGCTGGCACAGATACCTCAGTTATGCCCATTGCGTTGCACAACACTTGAGAAACAATCATAAGCTTGACACCTACATGAGGAGAAAAACGAACGTTATATGACTAAATAAATGGCTTTCTGTAACGTTTTTAAAGGACAGTGGGAGGGCAATATTACCGGACTTCAGGTTTTAAATCAGAATTACTCTGGTTTTGAACTGTTTAAAAAACAAACGAACGAACGAACGAACAAACAAACAAACAAGCAACAAAACGATCGTCAGGCCAAGCAAACAGCACGAACAAACCCAAGAACAAGAAATAAAAACCACTAGAAAATACAGCCTGTTCATCTTAAATGGTCGCTTTTAAGCACAAGGGCGCTATCCCGAAAAATGCTGTTTTGAGAGAATCGAAGGTAAAGATTTTGCCCCTTGTTCAGTTTCTTTGAAAGTCAAGGAGAGTTTTATGACCAAACAATTATAAGCACCAATGAAACCAAACTTCTCCGACAGGTAGGGCTATGCTCACTTTTGGTATAAGTCAAGATTTCTGAAAAAACCCGAAATCTGGGTTAGCCCGCTTGTCCTTAAAAGCGGCGAAATGTAAAACAATTCTTTGCTCGTCAGTTTGGACAAAAATTGTTCCAAATTTTGACGATCACTCGTTATAATTTGTCTCTTGAGCACGAGAAAAATCCTTTGCATCTGACCAATGAGCAATAACTTTGTTTTATGTTTAATGGTAAATGAATTTGAAACGTTACTGTATACATTCTTCCATTTGAAGCAGGTGCTACGTTGGCAAAGGGCAAGCGAAATTAAAAGCAGCTTGTTTTTATTGTTTGTATATTATGTTGTGAGTTTTGTGACAGATGTTGGTACGATCATTGAAAGAGGCGTTCTGTTCAAATGAGTTACTTCTACTCTAGCAATCACAAGTAGAGATTTCGG